CGCTATTTAATGAATGTTTTTTTGAAGCGAGGAAATAATAGTTTAACAACTTGGCTTGGTAAGTTAAGGCCACTAAAATCTTGTGGTGCTCCAAAAACGCTACCATCTGGAGAAGGCATATGACATAGGTAGGTTTAGATAAAGTAGATGATGCTATATAAATTTCTGAAGTTGATGACATATACGAAAAATTATTTTCCATTTTATCAAATTATAAATTTAAATTGCAAAATCAAAGAGACAACAAAAAAGGCGCACGTTCTTTTTGTTTTCACTTGCGTAATTGATTTTAAACGGCACTAATCGCGAGTTACAACAATTCTTTAGGCAATTGTTTTTCGTTTGCATATATTGTAATATCTAAGTAAGTCAAACCATGGTACAATAATTACAGGTATTCTCTTCCCAGAGAGCGCATTTTCGAATCTGCCTTATTTGAAAAATACCATTGTTGCCCACACTACAAGGTTTACTGTAAGGGAAAAGGGATATTTCTGTACACCATATACCATACATGTCCACGTTTTTTTAGTTTTGAACAAATCGTTTTGCAGAGAACTTATTTAATTTGCAAAAGCTGAAAAATAAACATTTGCTTAGTAAACAAATCAAAAATTTTTATTCCTCACTTTATTTCAAACGTTTTTTTTATTTTTTTATTAAAATTATAAAAATTAAATTTAGCGAAAACCAAAAGCAAAGCCAACTAAAAGTAAGGAATCAACATTGAAATGCTTCAAAATGAAAATAAGGGAGCACGAATTTCGATGTGAAGCAAAACTCTCAGGGAAGACAATCAGCCCTATTCTGCATTTCGACTCGAATCGAAATTTTCTCCGTTTGGCAACTTTGGTATTCTGCGTTCCGTTTCCTTTCGATCAATCTTCGAAATTTACGATTATACCTATTCTACATTTCGATCGTAGTTCCGTTTTTCTAAGTTGCAAATTTGTTGACGGAGAACGTTTCAATTGTTATTTTCGTGGGTTTAAATAATAAAATGTTATAAAAAATTTAATTAAAATATACTGTGCATGATTGTAAAAGTCATCATAAATGAATTTTCTCGATTTCTGTGTTTTCGCGAGCGGTAATACGGGCAATACGAAAAATTGGCTCAAATAATGGCAACCAAAAGGGAAATTGCGCGACGTTTTCAAAGTGGAAGTCCAGTCGTTTTTGTTTACATTATCTATAAACAAGACTGTGAAATGCACTGAATGCAATTTATTCTTTTTATATAAAATTAATAGATGTATGCACATAGATACATACATACATAAAATGTGAAGTTACATAAAAAAGATGCTTTTATTATTGCACTCGTTTTTACTAACTTTTTAAAAAGAGGTGCGTATGTT